CCCCGCGCGGCGTCTGATGCAACCTGCCGGCAACTCCCGGCGGGACCGCTGAGCTCATCCCTGGCCGCCGCCCAGCGCCGCGGCGCCACCCGCCGACCCCCGCGCTCCCCCGGGCGCCCCTCGCCGCCGGCCCGAGACGGGATGAAAGACGAGGGGCGCCCACTCCAAACCCTAGCCCTCTGTGAAACGTGCAGTTGTGACAAGCCAGGCTCGTATTGGCCCCTGGGGATAAAGGGTGTTCCCAGAATAGCAGGAGGTGGACCGTATCTTATTTTAGTGCTGCATGGGATATTTCCTGAGCCGCCAAAACTGCTCAGTGTGGGGTCTGTTCAGAAGTTAATAGAGTGATAAGGAAACCAGTTGATTTTTACCGACGTGACTTTACAGAAAACTGTTATGCTTCTTGATGGAGCTATAGTTTGAATACCCGGCAGTTGACTGTTGAACATAGGTGAGATGAATGTGCAACAACCACGAGTTGAATAGTAAAGAGAATGGCAGGAAATGAATAGCTTCCTTAGCCTGGTGGAGGGAACACAGTGAGGAAAACAGCTGGAAGAGGTGTGTGTCTAAGATGGAGAGGATGGAATTGCAGGTTTGAGGGGAAGGGTAATCTGTTCTTCCCAGTCGGCTCGTATGTTTTTATTCTTCAAAAGGTGTAAGTGTTTGGTTTTCCTCTTGCCTGAGGTTTATGCTTAATCTGGCATCTTAAGATGTGTCAGCTTGAGAAAGGTTTTAACATTTGTGGGTTGCACAAAAATTGGTAGTTCTGTCCCTGAGCCTACACTCAGTTGAATCCTTATTTGAAGGGAGCGTTCCTTAATTCAGATAGGCTCTGTGACTCCCGAAGACATATTTGAAGTAAAAGACTATAAGGGCTCGATTTACTAAGAAACTCTGCATCTAAAAGTTCTTGAGATTTCAAAGTTAAAGTCTGGTCAGCTATGACCACTTAAGTAATATTTGGGATAAGCTATTCTTAAAGTTGATTATTTCTGGAAGAACTTACTGTAAACAAGGTTAAATAATTATAGGATGCTAGGGAGCTGAATTTTTCGATTTCTTGATTCCTGCGTCTGGTGGGCATACTTAGCTTTTTCAGTCATTTTTAATACCTGCCTAAAAAAAAAAAATAGGTGGAAACAAAACCTCATTTTTTCCAGAATATCCTTTAAATTCACAAGACCACGTCATGACTGTCAGCAAGGTTGTCTGATCATGGAGAGGTGGTTTCATCCCTTGGGATTTAAATAGCACATGGTGAGCCCTTGGTAAAGGCAAATTGGACCTCACGGGGCTGAATTTGGTCTTATGTTCTAAGATTGCCTCACCTGATCGCAATAATGGTAAATACATGTAGCCGCAATTCCAGATTTATTGTGTACTCTTGGGAGGGGACACTTCCATGGGTTCTTGTATTGGCAGGTACATTCGTCTCCTACCTTTTTGGCTTTCCAGCCCTATCAATTAAAAAAAAAACACATGACCTCCTAACAGGTGTATATTTATAAAAAAGATGTGTTTATTATTTTTTGTATGTTGTAAATCAAGTCAAAAGTGAATTTAAAAAAAGACAAATGAACATACATTTCCTTCTCATACTTACGTACTCCCTGAAGGGATGTACCCTCTTTCATTGACCTCCGTTTTGAGTCATGAAGCAAGCAGTGGCAACTACATAGAGGTGTCCTTTGACTTTGCTTACTTTTGACTTCACTTGTATAGTACAGCGTTGGCAGACCCTGGCAACACGTGCCTAAGAACTTGAGATTATTACGTGGAAAACAACTGGGCTAAGTAGAAAATGAAGGCTCTCAACTGAAATGAAGCAAAGACCAGACAAGAAGGATGTTCACTCTATAGTCTGGGGACTTGAAGTAGCAAATGGAACTGTGTTTTTGTTTTCCTGTACACCTTTAAGAAAGACCAAGAACTTTAGGGAGTAAGACCATGATATCTTAGTAACTCTGTTTAGTTGCGGTTGTTTTAAGACATTTTAAAGCTAGAGTCTCATTTTTATAAGACATTTATAAAAATAAAGTTTTTTTCTTAGCCTTTTGATCCTGTATTCAACAAATATTTCTTGAGCACCACTATATACCTAGCCCTGCTCTAGATGCTGGGTATGTGGAGATGAAGACAGTGGCCTGCCTCGAGGTTAGTCTACAGGGAGACACACTGAAGGGCTGGTGTTGACAAAGAAAGGGGGGGGGGACGAATTGAATAGAAGCACACAGAAAAGAGAAAGCAAGGACCTTTTAGTGGTTTAGTGTTGTTGAGGTGTGAAGTGTAAGGGAATAGGGACTGGTGAGAGGGTTAATACCTTGGATTTGATCCTGTGTGTTGGAGCCACAGAAGAATTTTCAGCAAGAGGGTGTGACATGCTCAAGTTTGAGTGTTAGATTGCTCTGGGGACAATAAGTGGTTGGAGGGAACACTGCTAAACCAGAGGCGACTAGTGCCCCTGAGAGATGATGTCAGCCTGAGGTAATTCTGTGGCATGGGGATGCAGAGGGGTGGTGGATGTGAGGCTTTTTGGGGGGTGGAGTGGGGTGGGTAGAATTGTCATATACCAATGATTGAACAGATTTGGAGCAATATGAATATTTTGGAGTAGAGACCTTCACTGAGGAAATTTGAGTGAAAAATTTATTTGGGGGGACCAGGGAGGAATATCTGGTTGTGTATGTGAAAAGAAAAAAATGACAAGGGGGTTAGGAAAATTCTTGACAGGTTTATTTTCCCAAATGGAACTTGAGAAAATTTGATTTTGTTTTACACATTCTAACATTCTTAGTTTTCAGTGTGTTACTGATTTGAATGAACATTACTTGAAATAAGCAATCTGAATGTTAAAAAATGTTACCCACTCAGTCCATCTTTCTTAAGATTTGTTGTTAATCTGCAGCAGTGGCTCTCAGACTTCAGTGTCATCAGAATCACTTGGAGGCCTTATTAAAACAAGTTTGCTCAGCCCTATTCCTGATTTCCTAGATCTGGGGCAGCCTGAAAATTTATACTTCTAACAAGTTCCAAATGATGATGTCACTGGTCCAGGGACCACACTTTGAGTACTACTGCTCTTTAATTTTTCTACTGCTTCCTGCTGGAATGATTCACATGGAAGGAAATAAGGCACCACCCTGCTTCCTGTAGACTGAACTTTGTAATAGTATTTGTCCACATAGGAGCCAGACTTTCATTTAAGGTTGAATATCCAGATTGGAAATTAACTTATTTTTTGCCCATGGTAGGTTGCTCAGATGTTTGTGGAAGGAACAGAAGCACAAATGCAGTGTAAACTGTAAAGTGTGTAACTTTTAGAGGCAGCTGTTTGCTCAGTGTAAAAATAAAATTGATAATCTGTTTGGAGTTAAATCTTAGCTCTTTTGACTCTTTTTAGTTGGTTCATTTTCCTTAATGACTGTCTCTTCACTTTATCTAGCTTGTCTTTGGTTGAAGAACTTTAAAAAAAATTTTTTTGGGGTTCTTTTTATTATCTCCAAGTTTCCCTTTCTTACAGTTTTACCAGTTTGATGATTCTTTGTTTTTCAAGACAAAGGGCTCATTTTCAAAACCTCGCCTACTATGTTCAGCCTAGTACCTTGGCAGGATGGGTCAGACTGACGTAAACGAGCCCTTCCTTATCTGTGGGCACAAAAATGGGCATGAACATCACTGAGTTTGGAGCCTTTAGTAAGAGTTTTTAGTCACTGAAGTTCATGGTATGTTGTCAGAGTCAGAAGGCGTTTTACCATTCTACAGCCCCCATTTGCAGAGGGGGAAATTGAGTCTCACAGAAAGGAAGGAATTTTTCCAAAGTGAAATGTAGAGCCAGAGCCAAGACAAGACTTGACCTGGTTCCTGGTCTGTACTTCTTTAGATCATTGTTATCACTGAGTTGACTATAGTAGAGATTAGCTTTAAAGACAAAAAATATAATTGGTATATGAAAAATAAATAAGGGCCGGCCGTAGTGGTGCGTTGGTTAAGAGTTGGCTTGGGACGCCAGCTCTGAGCAGCAGGGCCCCGGTTTGGATCCCACATGAGGGCCAGTGACGCTGCGCCCTCACAGCTAAGATGGTGAACAACAGCTCGACCGGGAGCTGGGCTGCTGTGAGTCGCTGTTGAGGGCGTAGGCTGCAGTGGGGCTGGCCGGCAGCTGGCCTGCGCTTTCGTGAGCTGCCCGTGAACTGCCAGAGCGGCCGTCCAATGGCCATGGAGCGACTGCCTCACCTGGGAAGAGCGCAATGATAATACCAACATGGGACAGTGAAGTGACGCCCTCCAGTAGACTGAAGAACAGAAGGACAGCAACTTGTCTGTTCTCTGATTCCCCAGTGCTGTTCCCCTCCCCCAATTCCCAATAAAATCTTTAAAAAAATAAATAAAAAGAAGATAAATAAGATGAACATGATTATAATTGTTAAGAGGATCCCAGAAGAGGTGTTAACCGAGTTTATAAAAATTGCGTAAAACGCTTATGTTCGCTTGACACTGAATAGGTAAGCAATCGTGTAGATGGTTCTTGGTAAAGGTGGCTCAAACTGACACTAAACTGCCACTTTTTAACTGGAAGAAAAAATAGACAACATAGTAAATTATCGGGACATTGTGAAGTGTCCATTACTGAGAATAGACTTGGAGTAGATATCCATCATGGCTTGGAAGGAAGCTTTCTGTCTTGCCTTAGTACTGTAGTGAGAACAGATGACCCATTAGCTCAGGACTGCCTGCGTGGCTTTAAAAACAATTGAAAGTAATGATATATGGACTTTTTAAAAGCAAAGATTTTTTAAAAAGCAGGCAAGTAGACAGTGTTTATATAGAAGTGCCTGGCTAAAGGTTTGGGTGAAGCTACTAGTGTTTACTAGCAGCTTTTCTTAGCTGTGATGTGCTCATTGAGGCATTTCATAATTGTGGCTCCAGGTTTTTTTCCATGATGTATTATAGTTTTAGCAGTTTTATGAAAAGAGAACAGAATACTTTTATGGTTCATAACACTGCTTTCTAAATTTTTAAGAGTGCTGTGACTTCTTGGTGGACAGGGTTCACTCAGCTGAATAGTCAGTTTGCCTTGGAAAGGCCTTAACGATGATAGGATCAGTATGGTTTTGACACATCTTGAGGCAATTGTAGCGACCTAGCTGATTTATAGTAATGCAAATATGACTAGTTTCTGAAACTGCCTACATTTCTGCAGGCAGCACTGCAGTCACGTGTCAGAATTGGCCTGTCCTCTGAGGGCCTTCAGCAGCCGGAAGTGGGGGCAGGCACTGCAGCTGCCCCAGCTGTGTCTAGCCCGAGTCCCGGTACTTGCACTCCCTTGGATGCATCATTAGGGCTTTTCTTTCTTTGCTTGTGTTTTTAGGTTGACTGCGTAGCTGTGTTTTTGAATTATGTCAAGAAAAAGACACTATTAAAAGTATGGTGAGATGGGAAAGCAAATTGGGTGTCTTCAGGGACCCTAAAACTATGATCCAAGAAACTAACTAGGGAAATCACTGTAAACTATCATTTGAGGTCATTGAAAAAAATAAAAACAAGTGAAAATACCTTTTCAAAATATCCCATAAAGATATACTCTGGGAGAAAAGGCAAGTCCTTGATGACTCACCCTCTGCATATGGGAATAAGGAACTGTAGCCATCACAGCATTCCTGATAAATACTGGACGCTGGGCTCCCCTACAGCATTGACTTGAACCAACAGCTGAAACGCCCCCCTTTCATCGCAGGTGTCTCTTCTATCATAATTGAACTCAGCTTTTCCATGTTTAACCCAAACAGCTCAAATTTATCTCTGGCAGATTGCCAAGTGCTATTAATTCATATGTGCTACCTAATTAGTGGTATTCTTTTGTTTTTCCTCCCATTTTTGAAAACAATCACAGATGGGCAGTGCCCTCAGGGTTTCAGGTGGGCTGAATGTGGCCTTGTGGTGCTTCTGTACTAAGCTACCTTTCTCAATTAAATGATTTAGACTTCTGAAACACTGCAGCAGTTGGCAGCTGCTGTAGACTTTTCTCAGCATAATCAATTAATGTTGGCTTGCTGTTAGGTACACGCAAGTATAATCTCATTTGATCTTGTCATTTCAAATATTTTAATGCAATTTATTCCTTAACTAGGTACATGTGAAGATTTCCTGGCAGTGTAGAGTGGAAACCATTGATCACCTTGCCCTCATTTCTGCCTGTTCTGTGTTGGCAAGGGAGCGTGCCCAAATGAGCAAGATATCACAGCAGAACAGTACTCCAGGAGTGAATGGAATAAGCGTTATTCATACTCCGGCTCATGCCAGCGGCTTACAGCAGGTTCCTCAGCTGGTGCCCGCTGGCCCTGGGGGAGGAGGCAAGGCTGTGCCTCCAAGCAAGCAAAGCAAAAAGAGTTCACCCATGGATCGAAACAGTGATGAGTATCGTCAGCGCAGAGAGAGGAACAACATGGCTGTGAAAAAGAGTCGGTTGAAAAGCAAGCAGAAAGCACAGGATACACTGCAGAGAGTAAATCAGCTCAAGGAAGAGAATGAACGGTTGGAAGCAAAAATTAAATTACTGACTAAGGAATTAAGTGTACTGAAAGATTTGTTCCTTGAGCATGCGCACAACCTTGCAGACAACGTGCAACCCAGTAGCACTGAAAACATGACAAATTCTGATAATGCAGGACAGTAGACCTCACCTCTTCCAAACTTCACAACTTGTGGCTTGAACGTTAAAGGTGTGACTGCACCATTCATATCAATGGCTGACCATTGTCTCGTTCCTTTATTCAAAGATCCATTGAAGGTTTTTTTTCTAGGATCAGCACTGAAGAGTTGATTAGCTAAAAATATTAGCCATGTAATTCGAGTATCTGGTTTTAAATGATACGGATTTTTGTGGGGATAAAGAAACAAAGTTTTAAGGTATGTGGTAAAAAAAACAAAAAATAAAAAAACCTGGACCTGATGTTCTTAATAAATTCTGACTTCCCAAGAAATGCTTTTGTAGGTTGACAAAAGGAATGGGGAACTGGTAGGTCACGCAGAAGGTTTTTGGTTAGTTTTAATGGATATGGTTAATGGATTAAGAAAAGCTGAATTCCATCTATTAATCTGTAATTTTATTTTAAGTTATGTAGTAAAAATCCTTAGGGCTGTAGAAACCAATCACTTTGTAATTTGGAGTGATTTTATGTACAGCATAAACCTTGGTTTAGCATAATTAGTACTGTTTTCTCTGACAAATACAAGTTTTTGAATAACTATGTCAGGTTAAGTAAAGAAGCCCCGTTGCATTTTAAAGGCAGTATGTAGCCAATTGGCTTAAAAATATGAATAACATTTAGTAAGCAAATAGGTTAAAAAAAAATTAAAGCATATTGGAATTATCCTTTTGGGATACCTTTGGGTATTAGATTGGCATTTTTTTGTATCCTAAAAAGAACTCCAAAACAACCCAATAGTTTCGAGAAACTTGTGTCATCAAAATTTTAGTTTCTGCAGATGCTAGTAAAGTAAGCATCTTTTTTTAAATACTATTTTGACAGCCAAGTTAGTAAACAAAATATCTTAACAGTTTGATCACACGAGCTACTGGTAAGGATTTAGAATATTAATTCAGCAGGTAGTTTCTCCTGTATTCAGATACCATCAATGGGGCAGTGATTTTGAAAGGCAAAAATTCCTTGTGAAGGATCATTTGGTGTTTAATCTTGACCAACTGATTATTAGAAAAATGCATCATCAACTCCATGCCATCTCCCAAAACAATAGTCTAAGAAAACTTGAAAGTGTAAGGTTTAACGTTTAATTTATTTTGCTTAAATACATCTTTTTATATTTTTGTGGGCTGTTCTTTTAGAATTTTTGTACCACTACTTCTGTTTAGTTATTTTATGCTTTTATGTCCCATAAATTATTTTAGAAAGAAAATAGTAATAAAACTCAGGATATTGACATTTTTGTTGAGAATAAAAAATGGCAATCACTAAAGTTGGGATTCTCTAGTCTGATTTATATCAATGTTGGTAGTTTTGATTGTCCTTGACTTTTTTTTTTTTTAAAAGCACAATTCTAGCTCAAATTTGTTGGCTTTGTAAGGTTGGGTGTTTTTTTTTGTTTGTTTTTTTTTGTGCCTGGCCTGGTGACAAGAGACAGAGTCACATCTGATTAAAAAGTTTGTGTTACCAGGTATCACATTTGAACATGGTCATTTTTGGCCACATCACTGTTTTCATAGTAGGACCTGGGACAGTGTAACTAGCATGTAACTCAAGTTGCCACTCTGGGGTTGTTAGAAGAGCACTGTCTCTGTTCTTATGGGCAGAAGACATCACAGTGCCCTGAAACTTGCCAAAGCCATTGTTAAGGCCGCGAGCCTGCCAAGAGCCCCTTCTGCAAGTAACAGGAGCCCCGTGTAATTTCCCATGAGCTGCTGTCCCAGGAGGGTTAACTCCCTATAGAGCCAGGAGACAGTGTAGGGGTTTCTATTAGGGTTCAACACCAGTTTACTTTGGAGTATTGATCTACTAGAAATAGATGTTTTGAATAATTAGGAGAGCCCCACAGATCTTGCTGAATCTTTAATAGCTGATCGATGTTATATAATTAACCTATTTGGAGATGCAGTTAGGTATTTTGAATCTGTAAGCACCTATACTAGGTTTTACATTTTATTTACTAAAACATATCTTTCAGAAATTGATGTCTCCATGGAATTGATGGTTACCAGTTATATGAATTGACCTATCTTAGAAAAGAAGCTTTAGGGAAATCATCAGGAATGTGTACTCCATATTTCAAATCAGAACATAAAATTGGAACTTCAGGAAAATAGATTCAAGTTTTCTTTTTACCTATGCAAATCAAGACGTTAGCACAAGCGGTCCTTTATGCATAAACAAAAATGTTAACCATTGTCTTGACTATGTTACTGAAGTGTTTGGGATTGAATGTTTTTAGTTTGATAAATTTATCAGTATAAAACTGAGGGAAATCAAATATGAGGAATGGATAAGTTCAGAGTTTTGGGAATTGTGAAATGACTTTTGTAACTTTTGTTTTGTAGGTTATATATGAACCATTAGGATTTGATCTGCCTTTGCTGGCAGGTCCAGTGGTTTAGGAATTAGGCTTTAGCATATAAATTTCTCGCTGGATCTGAGTATCCTGGGGTGGGTGCTTTCTGACTGGTCTTGGCCGCAGGTGGTGAGATCAAGAGCAGCATTTCCTGGTGTCTGGCCCCTTTCAGTTACGGGGATGCGAGTTCAGAAACTTTGGACATTCTCACTAAGAAGTAGTAAGATTGTAATAAAATAGGACCAGAACAGGATCACATGACCAGTCACGAGTGTGAAATTCCCAAATTTACCTAAAAAAGTAGAAGTATGTACAATTTAATATTTGATAATAAAGGAAATCGTAGTGACTTTTGATGTTTCTTAATCCCCATTAGAGGGCTTGAAACTTCGTACCTGTACAACCAGTTAGCACTGAGTGCTTTTTTGATGCCTTAGAAATAGGGAAAAAAATTTAGTTTGACAGAAGCTAGGAAGGAGAAAGTCCATTCTACACCTGTTAGACCTGCCTCTCAGGAAAAAGTACTTGTTTTTTTTGTTCCTGGCTTTCCTCAGTTTGTGAGATTACTCTATTTTTTTTTAATATAAGTTTATTTCTTTCAATGAATTTGAAATAAAATAAAAAAACCTTTGGAATAATGGCTGTATTTCATTGTGGGTTTCTTTATGGTAGACACCGAGAAAGTAGTCCAAATGGTAAACAGCTCTGAAGAGCAGGCGGATCCCCTGCTGTCTTCCGTCTCAGCCCAGGGGTGGGGTGGTGAGGGTACAGGGACACGCAGGGGTGCTTCTTTCCAAGTCTAGGTTTCCCTTAATGGATAGAAACCGTTTTCACCAAATACAGAGTGCCTGTATATTCTTTGTCACCTGGTCTAATCTGAAAATGTTTATTAGAATAGAGGACACAATCACTGGGGTTCTCGCTTATACACCTAGGATCTCAGTGGTTTCCATTTACAGGGCGGCTGGAAATTAGTTCCTAAGTCCGCAGTGTCAAAGTAAGGCATTTCCCTTCATGATACAATTCATGGTATGTATATAGTCTTCATTTACATGAAGACATCGAGTGTCTAGAAAGGAATTCATAAATACGGAGTCCAAGAAGCTGACTTGAGTGTTTGAAGGGAAGATGCCATTTATTTTTTTATTTTTTATTTTTTTTTAATTGTTAGTTTTAGGTGTACAGAACAATGCAGTAGTTGTCCTTTTTACCCTTTACACAGAAACAACCCCCTCCCCCATCCACTGCCCTCCCACCCCCGATATCATGCTTGTCTATTACTATTCCATTGACTCCATTCCCACTCTCTACTCCACGTCCCGTGACTATATATGTATATAATTATAGTTGACATACATTGTTATTCAACATCAGCTTCAGAAATACAGTGCGGTGGTCAGGCCTCTAAACCAACTATGAAGTGGTCTCCCTAACAAGACATAAGTCCATCTGGCCCCCTAAAAAATTTACAACATATTGATTATATTCCCCAGACTGTCTTTTCTATCCCTGAGGCCATAATGTAGTTAACAATTTGTATTGTCTCATCCCTTCCCCTTCTCCATCCCCACCCCCTCCCAACTAGCAACCCTGTTTTTCCTCTGTGTCTCTGAGACTATTTCTGTTTACATTCCTCATTTATTCAGTTTTTTAGAATCCACGTATAAGTGAAAACATATGGTATTTGTCTTTCTCCGACTGACTTATTTCACTTAACATAATATTCTCTAGTTCCATCCATATTGTTGCAAATGGTACTATTTCCTTCTTTATAGCTGAGTAATACTCCATTGTATAAATGTACCATAGTTTCTTAATCCAGTCGTCTACTGATGGGCATTTTGGTTGTTTCCAAGTCTTAGCTATTGTGAATAGCGCCGCAGTGAACATAGGGGTGCATATATTTTTTCGGATTAATGTCTTGGGTTTTTTTGGATAAATACCTAAGAGTGGGATTGCTGGGTCATAAGGTAGTTCCATTTCTGGTTTTTTGAGATACCTCCATACTGATTTCCATAGTGGCTGCACCAGTCTGCAGTCCCACCAACAGTGCACCAGGGTTCCCTTTTCCCCACAACCTCACCAGCATTTGTTGTTTGTTGATTTGTTGATGATAGCCATTCTGACTGGGGTAAGGTGGTATCTCATTGTGGTTTTTATTTGCATTTCCCTAATGCTAAGTGAGGTTGAACATTTTTTCATATGCCTGTTGGCCATCTGTATGTCCTCTTTAGAGAACTGTCTCTTCATATCCCCTGCCCATTTTTTAATTGGGTTGTTTGTTTTTTTGGTGTTGAATTGCATGAGTGTTTTATATATTTTGGATATTAACCCCTTATCAGATATCTCATTGACAAATACCTTCTCCCATTCAGTAGGGGAAGATGCCATTTAGATACATGATCCTTCAGTTATGTTCATGTCTTGAGAAATGTCTACTTCTTGCATCTTAATGAAAACTGTAGTACAGTAATTACTTCTATGGGTGCTATGTCCCGTTTCATTTTTTTCAGTGAGTTGTCATTTTGAATCCAGTAACTTGTCTTGGGGAATTTTATAGCCATGACTTGTGAAGGTGCCAGCTCTTTTTTAATAAAAACCCTTTTAGACCTCCTGCTCTTTCACTGCCTGTGAGTATCTGAAGCGTCATGTGCAGCTTGCGCATATTCATAGGAGAGCACCTACCCTGACTATGCCTTTCCTGCAACATGCCCACTGCTTGCAGAGCTCTCAGCCTGAAAGGCATGCAGCGCTGTCCAGAGAATGTGGGGGTTGTGGAACCGGCCTTGAGAATGAAGTTGCTAGTGACACGCCTGAATACCCAAGTCTTGCCGTTCCCTGTGAAGCAGCTGTTAGAGCCAGATGCCTTGTCACATCACCACCTTCCAGTTCTACCTCCTCAGTGTCTCTTTTGCACCTGCCTACTTCTCCTCTTCTCTCCCACCCTTGCAGCACCTCGTCCTCTCTGCGAGGACAGGATTTGGTCTCCCTAGACCAGGGGTCGGCCAACTGTGGCTCGCCAGCCACACGCGGCTCTTTGGGTACTTTCCATCTCAAAAGTTTGCTGATCCCTGGAAAGGCCAATCCTGTCCCTCACAACAATTTAAAAACTATTTGAGAGCCATAAATATATTTTTATGTAGTCACCATTATGTGAATAATATTCTTCAAAAATTTTATAAATGAAACTATGATACTTTTATTTTCATTTTCAATTTTACTTCAGAGCCACATGCTCGCGAGCCACAGTTTGCTGACTCCTGGTGGCTCTTCCGTCTCAAAAGTTGGCCGACGCCTGCCCTAGACCACTGCAAACTCTCCAGAACCTTCAGTTGTTCCCCACTGCACAAAGGGGGAGACCCGCCCTTGTGGTGTGGCTCCATTTGATCTCGCCCACGAATTTCCTTTCATTCTCTCCCATAACTTGGCTGTGGCTTCAGGGCTTTGCCAAGCTTTTTACTCCAGGGCTGCCTTAGGAGGACAGCTCCTTATGACTGGAATGCCTCCGCTCTTGCTTTTCATTTTTAACCCTTCCCGTCAGCCCCCTGGCTTCCTAGACAAGGCGAGTTCTTACCTTCCTGCATGGCACTTGTTTCTGATGGCACACTTGTGCATGTTGAAGGCAAAGCCTCTCAAGACTGCGGGCTCTGAGAGCAGGGAGCGTGCGTTTATCAGACCCTGGCACAAAGGAGACGCTCAGTTATTGAATGCATCTATGGGCCCTTCCGGGGTTTTGGAACGGCTTTCAGTGCTGTACAGCTTTCTGGAGGTTGTACAGATTTCTGCAGTGGTTGGAGATGTAGCAGGTGGGTACCTCCTCTGAACGTGGCGAACGGCAGGTGGCTGCTGCTGGCCACCTGAGACCTGCACCTTCAAAGCATGCCCTTTGACCTACGAACCTGGGTGAAACCAGAGGCCCGCCTACATTCCCAGCATCCCTCCTGGTCGGAGCATTTCATTAACTGAGATTGTTCCTTGTTCTCCTTTGTGTACGTGCTTGGTAATCAGAAAACATTTATGTAAAGTGGGCAGTTTGGGTATGAAATGTGTGGAGAAAGATGTATGATACACTCAGCTATGTTTGTTAATGAACAAAACTATTGTATATGGTTCATTTAGAGTTTCAACCTAACTTTAACCTGTTTTATCCTGGGAGTGGGGAAAATTGAACCCTAGACACTAGAATATGTCTATCACAGGCACAGCTGGGGTAGAAATACCAGGCGAACTCAAAACTCCTGACACAAAGGCAATCATTACTTAAACTGCTCAATGTCACGAATCACTTAGGGAATATAGCTGCACTAGCAGAAAACCTTAAGAACTGGATGTTATAAATCTAAGAAACAAATAAGATAAATGGTGACTTGGAACTGAAATTGTTTTATTTTAATGTGGCCACATTACATGCACTTTTGTGTTATTGCCATAGGAAAAAATCAGTTTGTACTAAACTCTTGAATGACTTCTCAAAATGTCTCTAGCTTGGGCCACAGAGTTTTACTACCACATCACGGTTTCATCTGATATCTTTTCTCACTTGCCCTTCACCTTGGCTCAGAAACTCCTGGACAAGAGCTCAGTGAGGAGACAAACCTGGAATGGTGCAGAGAAATCTAGAAGCCGGTTTCAGGGGCTGGGGCAGTTCTGTGGGCCTTTGGGAGAACTGGGAAAACAGGTAAGGACAGGTACTCTGCCACTGGCAGGGACCAGGCCCCTGGCCCAGATGGCTCACGGCCTCCGAGTGGAATTTGGTCAGTGGGCTTACCTTTACCTTACCGATGGAAGGAAGGAGAAAGCGCGCCTTTGCCATGGTGTGCGGCCTCTCAGATGCTGGCTTTGCTAGCCTGTCGCGCATGTAAAGGATATCAAGGAATCTGCAAATCTCATGTTTTAAATAACTGCCTTAAGTGCTACCTAATTCTGCCCCCTTCAGAAATCTAGCTTTGAAGCAGTCACCACATCAAAAAGGCTTTCGTAGCCACCTTTCAGTGTACGCGAAGGCCTGGTGTGGGAGAGCTCTGTATGTGTATATGTGGGTCAGTGATGAGGATGAAGGACTGAGAGGGCCATGCACAAGGGACCATTTTAGGAAATCTTTTATTGCAAATTCCATTCTGTGATTTGATTTTTGAGAGAGAAAACACTGGAAATCTTTCTTTCTGGGGCAGAAGAATACAAGTGACAGCAAGACACATTTTAGTGGCTAAAGTACAGGATTATTTGCAATTAGCATTTTAAAAGCCACTATCATCTAAGCTTAGTAATAACAGATTAGGGTGTGATCTTGCAGAAAGGTAATAAAAAAGCTTCTCCCCCTAGAACACAGTACTATTTGGTGTGATCAAACGTCGATGCTGGCATGTGATTTCGGAGCACCATCTCTTGCTTCTGGACAGCCAATCAGCAGGCTGCTTGTTGTGAAGACAGGTGGCAAGGCCGTGTCCCCAGTCCCACTGGGCATTCCTGGCTGGCTCTACTTTGGGCCAGAGAAGGGAGTAAAGGCCTTGTCACAATCTGCCATGCATGCTTCGATTTCCTCCACTGTGCGGGGCACACAGGTCAGCAGCTCCATGCCACTGTCAGTCACCACGACGTCCTCCTCTATGCGGACCTGGGTTAGACCAACAGACTCTCAGTATGTCTGAGCTGGCTTCATGCGCTAGATTAGAGGCCCAGACCCACCAGCTTCTGGCTGACCTCCACTGAGTGGGAGGAGCCCTTTCTGAGGAATGGTCAGTACTGCCCACGAGGGAAGGGGCTGGCCTCAAGGCCACTGCTGAGAGGAGGGCTCGTCCCCTGGGGCCATCTGCTCATGCCATCTATCCACCCGCTCCTTGCCCCTTGCACCTTGCCAGGTGGTTGGGAGCCCCTGGAGTGGGGCTAGATCTATGGAGAATCTATGTCTTTCTGTTGAGGGGTGAGGCACCTGTCCGGTGACAAACCATCAGAAAGGGCAGACCAGGTCCTTCTTAAATGAGGAAGTCAAGATTGTCCCTTCTCTCCCTAGGGCTCCTGTCCCAGGACAAAGAGGTGAATGCAGCAATGTGTGTGTGCAGGGGAGTATTCTGGGAGCAAGCAGGGGGCCCATCGGAACTCACCCCACCAAATCCACGAAAGCTCTGCAGGACCTCGCGGTTAAAGAAGCAGGCGCGGGCTGGGTCAGCCAGGGCCTCGTCCAGGAGGTGGTCGATGAAGTAAATGCCCGGCTCCACGGTGAGCACCATGCCTGGCTCCAGGTGCCGTGCGGTGCGCAGGCTCCGCAGGCCGGGCTCGTTAATGCGCTCCACGCCCTGTGGGGAGAGGACAGGTGAGGAGGACCCCACTGGTGGCTCCCAGGCTGGTGTGGAACCAAGGAACCCGTTAGCTCCAGCCCAGGGCCACTGAGGCAGCAGGAGACAGATGGGCACAAAGAAACACCCAAGCGAAGCCCTCGTTGGCCCATGCAGGCGTCCACGTGTGAGGGCTGGTTCCAGCCCTGTGGGGTCTCACTGCAGCTGCAGGGAAGGCTTTGTGACCATGGGGGTCTCCAGCTCACACCCCTGCTGTGCTGCGCCACAGACACTTCAGAGAACACCCTCTGCTCTCTGTACACCCATTACCCTCAGAACTGCCTGCGGGAGCCCCGTGGACGCCACATGCACACACACACGGCATGCTGCCCGTGGGGCTGGCGGGGAGTCCAGTGGCCCTCACCTGGGCCCTCTCCCCGCCAGGGGAACGGTAGAAGCCAATGCTGTGAAGCCAAAAAAGCTCTTAAGGAGGCTGCAAGGCCGCCTGGCCTGTGTCTCTTCTAGGCAGCTCAAGTGGAAACCAGCCCCAGAAGTGCTGTGCCTGGCTCCCCCGGGCCAAGTCCCAGGTTTTCCATATGGGCTTCCAGGAGGAGGGACAGGTGCTGTCATCAGGACGGGCCTGCCAGCACCAGCTCTAGCGTGTAAAAGCACAAATGCAGACGTACCCGATGTGCATGGCCCTTGCCCACACTCTGCGCCCTCCAGCTGAGCCCTGGGCAGCGGCTCCCAGCCCTTGAGGAGGAGTGAGTGGCAGCGGCAGCTGCTCCCTGCAGAGGCGCCCCCTTCCCCCACGTGCACACTCAGCCTGGGCCTGTCCACTCACATGGGCACAGCCCACAGGGCTTCCTGGGCTGCGAGGGCAGGTGGTGCCTAGGATGCTTGCAGAAATTTCCCTGCCTTCCCCAGGTCCCTGAGGTACCCATCTGGCCTTCGGGCCAAGGCCTGTGAGTGAGTGGGCAGCAAGCAAGCTTTCTGGCCGGGCTCTGAGCTTGCCCTGCCCCGCTCAGAGCAATCCCCTGCAAGCCCAGCTGCTGGAGACGGAGCTGTCATTTCTGACTGTTTGGGGGCCAAGAACATCAGACTTCAATTAGTGGTTCATGTAAGGTAACCAGAAACAGGCTGGCTCGGCCTCCACGGCTGGGCACAGCAGGGAAAGCTGTGACCGTGATTCCGTGAGGGCGGGGACAGCGGGGCACGTAGATACTGGCGTACACAACTACTCTGACCTGGCGTGAGCCAGGCTCGGACAGAGGTGATGGGGGGACACCAAGGTACCGTGACCCCTGTGGGTCATACTCTGGGCACAGATGCTGTCTGCTGTGGCACCCAGCCCCACACCACTTTCTGCCTGGAGGGGATAAGGCAGGAGGGCAGGGGCCCAGGAAAGGCCCGGTCTAGAATGGCAATCCCTGTGCTCAGGGGCCAGGTGCTTGTGGGGTGGGGCAGGGGCCTGTCTTCTGCCCAGAAGCTGTCAAGAGCTCTGCTCCAGGCTTTCCTGCTCCTGCCATCTGAAGTCTGTGCCTGGCCTGGGCACCCCCTCCCTGTCCCTTACCTGCATGCTAACCCCTAAAAGCCTGTCCCCTTCTCTCATTCTCGGGTTGTCAAAGGCCAGGGGCCTGCCTGGTGGAGGCAGAGACCTGACATGGTCATGTCCCCTGTTCTCCCTCAGTTGCCATGAGCCCCGCTGTGGGCGGTTTGCTCAAGCTTGCACAGAGACAAGCTTCCAGAAAATTTCAGGTAAGGAGAGGGGAGAGTGACAGGGATCCCCGGGGGGCACAGGAGGCTATGCCTGCCTCAGCCCACTGACCACTGCCCCTTCAGAGCGTTAGCCCTCAGGAATCTGCCCTGGGGGTGCCCATCGAGAAGGACTAGAGCAGGGCAGGGAGAAGGATGGGGCCTGGGCTGAGTGCAGAGCAGATCCCACAAAGGGGAGAGGCCAGGGCCCAAACCCCGCTGGCCAAAGGACGCCAGCCCTGATGGGGGCAGAGCGCCGGCCTGTGCCGGGTCCACACCGGCTTCCGCCCGGGCAGAGGGCTTGACAGGGCCTCGACGTTTACTGAGCTCCGAGCAGAGGAGACCCAGATATGTCTGTAGGCCTGAAATAAAACAAATGACTTTTATAGGAAAAGCCATATTTTTTTCCACAATGTTTATCTGTCAGAAGAATAGACTCTGAGCACAAAGGGCTGCTTACTGGAAAAGATGAAAACAGTTTGCTGCCAATTTTCTCTGGTGGAAAAAAAGTGCTCTGGCGACTAATGAATAACGAGCCTCAGTTAACAATGTCTGGAAGGCCTTGCTCTTGGCTTCCTGCACACAACGTGACGGATAGAAATTAGGAAATTAAAACTGATTTTGTTTCTCCAAATTTAACTGTTTACACTTGAGGAAAAAAATAATTGAATAATAATGCTTCTCTTGAGCAATTCCCCTCCCTTCCCCCCAAATCGTTCTTAGTGCTTTCAAAATACCCTGCAGCCAGCAGGCCGAGCCTAGTCTTGGCTAACTGGCTGCTGGGCCCCAGGGCGTGCGGCGATTGCACAATCACCCCCTGCACTGTGGGCATCAGGCCAGGTGGCAGGGATGGCTTCACCCCCACCCACCGGGGCCTGGAGAGGCTGCAGCCACCTGCCGGGCAGGGCCTCCCGAAGGCCCTCTGGGTGGTCCTTTCAAGGAACAGTTGGTAGGAGGTGGAGGGGAAACCCAGTCTGGAGACACCCACGCAGGCCTCCCTCCCTCGCCAAGGAGATGAGGAGGCCATGGGGGCAAGCGGGCCTAGGGGTCTGGGGGGCAGAGGGTGTAGCACGGAGGGGCGGGGGTTCTGCTGCTGCTCAGCTTGTGAGAGCACCGGGCTCAGCTAGTCCCAGGAGGGACCAGGGCCAGCCACCAGCTGGTGGAGCCTCATCACCCCTGTCAGAATGAGGCCAGAGGCAGGAGGGCGTGATGGGCGCAGTACCAGCCCTATCCCTAAGACCCAGCTTCTGGGCTCCCACTGCTCTGCGGGGACCCCATGCCCTGCACACTGACCACCTACCAGCCTGCAGGAAAGGCGCCACACACAGTGCACAGCAGGGCTCACTGTACAGAGCGCACCCATCTCGCACGGAGGAGACACGCTCACGGAAGCACCCCTGCCTTGACCAGGGCCCTTGGGGGGGCGGGGAGGGGAGGCCTGTGGAGCAGCCTGGGACAGGACCAACCAATGGGTGACAAGGGAGGAGGGGCCCCATTTCTCCTCACCCTGCCTGTCACCACAGCCCACCCTTGGGAGGGCCGGGCTAGCGACAGCTCATACTGGGTTGTCCACACTGACCTCGGGGTAGCCTCCCACGTCGTGCACATCAATGCCCAGGAAGTGGCCAAGCCCATGAGGCATGAACACGGCCCCCAGGTGGGCCTGGAGCATGGCGTCGACGCTGCCACTCAGGATGCCAATGTGGGCCAGCTCTTCCAGGTGGATGCGATCTGCCAGGCGGTGCATGTCAGGCCACCAGACACCTGTGGCTCAAAGGGAGACTGCAGTGAGCGGAGGGCGGGAGTGCCTGAAGTAAGGGACAAGGGGGATGTGGCTGGGGTGGCCCTCCATGCAAGGCTTTCCCGACCACAGCTCGACCTGGAGCCCCTTCCTTTTCACTGTGTCCTCAGGGGCAGGTTCCTGTCACCCATGGCCAGGGTCCCAGCCCAGGTCGGCTTCCAGCCCCTGCTGTGTCTGTCCCCCGCCAGTGTGTGCTTCTGGGGCCAAGGGAGACCAGCCAGGTCCCTGGCCATCAGGAGGAGAGGTAAATGTCCCCAACAGTGGATGTGGGGTGGCCTCAGAGAGCCCCAGACTAGGTTCAAGCCCCAACGCCGAGCGCCTCAGACTGTGGGGCCAGGGGAGCACCCCTGCACAAACCCAAATGGGGGTGAAGGTGCAGCTACACAGCCTCACGGGCTGGCCGGTAGGGGTCTGTGGCCCCGCCTGCTATAAGCTGTGGCTGACCATCTCCATGGCAGCCCAAACATTCAAGCCTCAGGCTTCTAATCAAATTCATCTTTGCCCCATATTTCTGGGGCAAAGGTCACTGTGGAGTGTTCCCAGGCAGAGTTTTGGGGCAGGCAGTCTCTACAGGGCTCAGCGGTCAGTCTTGTCTGGCCCCTGGGGAGGCCCTTGGAGGCTGCAGCCTAGGGCTCTTAGAGAGCTGCCCTCAAAAAGCCTCGGCCATCCCCAGGGCACAGCGGATTCTACAGAGTCCCACCTTCAGCCTCGCTCAAGGGCACCGGGCGCTCTGCCTAAGTACCAAATAGGGGCCTCGGCCACTGAAGCTCCCTGCCCCACCCCATGAGGGCTGAGTTTGGGGCAGGTCACGTGCCTGCCAAGGCCACTGACACCAGGACACACAGGGCCAGGTGGACAGGGTGGGGGCCTGCACCCCTATATTGTGCTCTGGCCAGAAAGGGTAGCCACCACTGGTCCCTGCGGCCCCCTCCATGTGGGTAGCAACCCTGGCTCCCAAGGGGCCTCCAGGCCATACCCTGCCCTTCACATCCTCCGTCACTGACGGCTGCTGCAAGAGGAGAGCACTGGGATTCTGCACTGTGAGGGGCCTCGTGGGCCTGTGCTGGCCAGGATTGGGCCCCAGGGCCTGGGCTCAGGGCTCTGAAGCTCTGTGGCTGGCACAGGCCAGACAATGGGCTCAAGGGGTAACGAGAGAGGACAGCCCATCCTGGGATATAGGCCATCACCTCTCAGACACTCGAACTGGGCACCAGTCCCCCAGGTGGGGGCCCCTTCCCTGCCAGTGACAGAGGCCCCACAGTTGGGGTCTTGGGGTGAGGTGAGCTGGAGGCACAAGGCTGATCCAACCAACCTCTTGGGTCCCCAGGATCCAGGCTCTGAGCAGGTGGGTGGGGCTGTACCCTGGCCAGTTCCCAGGGCAGTGGCCAGCCCATGCAAAGTCCAGGGTGGAGGACACCCAGGCCTGTCCCTAGAGACAGAGAGCCTCCTTGGAGTCCAGCCTGGTTCTACCTAACTCAGCCCACGAGGCGCTGAGGTGGTGGTGGTGTCCTGGAGTCTGGCTACAACTGCAGCAGTATAGAGGGAGACCCCGGTCTGCACCCCTGAGGGTGGAACCCGAGTCGGGGAGACCCTGAAATGGAGTCCTGGGGAACTAGATCCCAGCTTGTCTGCTCCTGCTGTGATCCATGCAAGCCTTCGCCTCTGTGAGCCTGAGGCCTCCTGTGTCAAACAAGACTTATGGGGCCCTACAGGGTTGGCTACAGAGGCTCTGGTATCTACCGGGGGGGGGGGGGGGGGGCTGGGTCAGTATCCCCCCACCTCCCCCAAAGTGCCAATGGCAGCACTATTCACCTATCACTTGTGGCCAGCCAGACCCTGGGTCCACTTTGGGTTCACTGCATTCCTGGGGCACAAGCTGAGCCTGTCTCAGCCTCGGGTTCACTGCTCTTCTCTAAAATCGACCAACCTCACCTCACCCTCCCCAGGTCAGGCCACCTCTGCTGCAGCAGTACACAGGTCTTTCCACCTCAGACCCTTTGCTGACCTGTGACTTCTCATCCCTGGGGGCTCAGCATAAGTCAGCCCCTCCTGGGAGACCTTCCGTGGTCTCTCTCCGCTGTTCCAATTATTGCTCTCCTTGAGCCTTGTCCCTTAGACAGGCATGCTTCCCTGCTTCTCATGTCTCCCCAGGGGAAGTGGTTGTCCTTCCGGGCACCCCGGGGCCTGACAGAGCGCGTGCCGGCTCAGGGGCGAACGTGCAGCGCGCTCTCTCCTAAGGTGTGCTTCCGCCAAAGGCTCCGGGCCTGAACAGAGCCATCAAGCAGCCCTGCAAACTTGGCTCCATCCGACGGCCTGGCCCCTGGGGCTGAGACAGGGTGTTGCATGCAGTAGCTGATGACGCCCCAACCCCAGCGAGACTCCGTTTTTCTTCAGCGGGACCTTTTCCAAGTCGCCAAAGTAGAACCCCCAAAAGCAGCCTGCCTTCAAAACTGGCCAGTTTCCACAGTGGGCTGCGGTCTCGGCCTGGCCTCGGTGGAGGCGGAGATCAGGTATAAATCATGCTCCGTGCTGGCTCCTCTCCTGTCCTCGTGGCCCCTTGTGGGGCCGGACGTGCGGGCCTGGGCGGTCCCCACGGCGCCTCTAGTCTTCCTCGCCTGCAGGCCCCCGGGGCAGGCCTTGCACAGCGCTCTTGGCTGGGAGTGAGAGTTTCTGCCTGTGTGTGGTTAGGGTTGTGACAGTGACTAAACCTCCAGCAACTTGGCGCAGCGTCTGGCCCGGATGGTGGTTACGACACCCATGGCCAGGGCAAGGGTCCCTGAAGTGTGTGGAGGTTGCTGTCCTTGGGCTAGGTTGGAGGGGTGGGGTGGGAACAAACCGGAGGGAGGCCCAGCCCACAGTTTGAGGCCCACGCCCTGACTCCCGGGCTCCCCTCGCCTCGAGAGCCCACGGGCCCCTCGGAGCCCACACGGCCCAGCCAGAAGACATCCGTGGTCCCTCAAGCCTGTTCATACTGGGGACACCACACTGGGGATCACACTGCAGAGACTGGGTGCCGTCTGCCCTGCCCTTCCTCCCACCTCCAGCACGCACCAAATCTCGTCCTGTCTTCCCGAAACACCTGAACCTGGAGCCTTCGTGGGCCCACACCTGTCCTGGGCCCCTGCCCAGCCGCATCCCCCACAGCCCGCCTAAGGCCTGGACACCAGGGCCAGCTCTTTAGAACACAAGTCAGACTGGGCCAGCCCCCACCCCGCGTTCCTCAGCCTGGCTTCCACCTCCAGCCTCAACCATTACCTGCTCCTGGGCCAGTGGTAGTGAGTGCTGGCCTTCCACCTGCTGCTCCCTTAGCTGGGACCACCTCTCCAAGGCCCCTCCCTTCCCAGACTCACTCTCGTTCCTCCTGTGGGCCTCTGTGTTGAGACTTTCTCCAGGAAGCCCGCCCTGACTTCCCCTTCCTGCGCTGCTAGAGCACAGCACAGTGGCATAGTCGCGCCCTTGTTACAGTCTCTGAGAGGGCAGGGACTGTGCCCTACTACACGTGTGGCCTCAGCAGGAACACCAGCGTCCCTCATGGTTCTCTTGCAGCCAGAGCTGTGACCTCATGGGCCCAGGATGTGGGTATGCCCCACCCCACCCCACTCCTCTGTGCACTCAGACCCCAGGGTGGCAGGGTAGCCTCTGTAGCTGTGCCCCATCATCTGCCTGTTGACTCAGAGGGACCAGAGTCCTGGTGCCTGGGCCCCAGTATGTGTCCGAAGCAGCCCCAGGTCACCAGCTGGTCTTCTGTGCCCACCTGGTCCCGCTTAGGCCACATCTCCCCGTGATGGGCTGGGAGCCTGCTGGGCCTTCTGCCTGGGCCGGTTCCTCGGAGCCTTAGCAGCATCCATCACAATCTTGGGGCCTCCTGCCCAGAGTGTGACAGCCTGGGGGCTTGGAGGCCCTGAGCCAAGCTGGGAAGGCAGCAGAGGGCCCCCTGAGCTGCATCCTCATAGTCACTTCCAGACAAAGAGCTCACTTCATCCTAAGACAATGGCCCTCTAGGGATGATGTGTGCGCCAGGCTCTGGGGGTGCAGGAGGGAAGGCTCAGGGCAGGGGTCCCAGGGCAGGCCCTGTGGGCTGCAGGGAGCTGCCTGGCAGGCTAAGCTGGCGCAGGGCTGAGAGCCTCCAGCCCACCCCACCTCAGACCCCTGTCTGCTGCCAGGACCTCTGGGGACCCACTCACCCTGCAGAAGGGCAGGGCGGTGTGCGCCCGGGCTGCAGGCGCCTGGATGCTGCACTGAGCGTGGCTGTCTTGCTCGGTCTCTGCGTGGTCCCTCCCCGCTACACGCTGGCAGAGTGCCCCATGGGAGGAAATGAGGCCAGGGAGGGTGCCTGTGTCTGGGTGGCTCGCTGTCCCTGTACCTCTGTCTGCCAGACCCCTGTGTTCCAAGCCATCTCGAAGGAGAGGCCGGAGGGGAGTCCAGCCCCTGCCCCAGGGAGGGGAGCAGAGCCCACAGAGGCACCCAGACCACAGGCCACAGGAGACACATGGTGAGCCACGTGGGCCTGCACAGCTCCTGGTGCCCTCCTCACCCGGTGCTCTAACAGCATCCTCTCCTGCTGTGTTGCCCACTCTGGGGGCGGGGGCACTTCTCACCACTGAGAACCCCAACTTCACATGGGCAGCCCCCTGCCAAGTGGCAGAACCCTGACACGAAGGGCAGAGCCATGAGTGGCGGACAGCTGCACACAACTGCATGGGCTGTGAACGGAATGTGGAGGGGCTGTTCACTCAGACCAAGACACAGCTGTTTCCACAGAGCACAGGGCGGCCACGGTGGGTGGTGAGCAAGGAGGGAGAGAGATGCTGGGAAGGGGAAGGCGAGGCTGCAAGAGGCCTGGGTGCTCACCAGGGGCCACGGTGCTCCACGGTGCCTGGAGGGACCGAGTCTGCAGAACAGCCCAGCAGTGGGCTGTGGCCAGTTCCAACACCACGTCTCCGGGCCGCCCCTGCGGGGCTCACCCCAGCTCTCCTCACAGTGTCTCTTCCCCTCATGAAGGCTGGGGGGTACCACTAGTACACTTTGGTGCCTGAGGAGGACAAGGTGGTCTGCACAGGGTAGGCCACCTGTCCTGGCACGGAAGTCATGAAGAGCTCCGATTCCACGCAGCCAGAAGCCAGCATATGGCCTTGGCGTCCAGGCCCCGTCCCATGGGCTGGCATGGGTAGCGTTCTCCCAGGTGCTGTCGCTGCTTGGCTCACCCCTGCCCATCCTCGTGAGGCCCCTCTGAGTGAGCTCAGCCCTCCTTCCCTGGCTGAGTGGCAGTGAGGGACACTTCCCCTCTGACCCCAAGCATGGGACCAAGGCCTGTCTTCCTCAGTCCTCGGGGTCGTACCCCAGGATCTGTGCACGCACTAATCGTTCATCTCTGCCTCTCCAGGCATCTTTGCTGGGACCCTGGCTGTCTTTATTCACTCTTCCCTGGAAGGTTGCAGGAAGCAAGCTTGCAGTCTCAGCGGGTGTTTGTCTTGGCCCAGGAGCGGAACCCACAAACCGGGGGCATTTCTGCTAGGACAGGGTATGGGGCTGACCTGGCCATGGCCTCCTCACCGCTATGGGAAGGCGAACCGACCCATCTGAGAGAAGTTCTGTGGTCACAGGCCTCCTGCCCTGCCGGGACTGCACTGCACGTGACCCGGATGGAGTCAGGCTTAGCGCCCTCGGGAACAGTCTGCATGTCACAATCTCATCTTACCGTGGTGACGGTGGGGGATACTGTGGGGATCCTTGAGGCCCTGGCGAAGGCCCAGCCTGTGCCCCGTGGTGTGCTGGCAGAAGCTGCCCCACAGTCTGCAGAGACCAGGCAGCTAAGCCTGGCCTGGCTCGGCCTGAGGCCTTGGGCCTGTCCCAAGAGTGGCACGGCTAGACCCTGGGAATGGGGTGACCAAGTGAATGCCGGGACCGAGCACCAGGCCTTTCTCAGTGCCATGCAGGGCTCTGGGGTCATGCCTGTGAGCCCAGGCAGGATTGGGGTTGCTCTGTTAGCCAACTGGGTTGGCCAGGATACCAGCTGGGTTGGTGCCACCCAGGTCCTGCCCAGGCCTCAACAGGCTTTCCTGCAGTGGGGTCGGGGGCAGGTAGGGTCAGCCAGGCCTTGGTCACCACTCCTGCCTCCGTGCTGGGCGGGGGCTAAGCAGTACCGGGAGCTTGAAGTCTCCCAGGGGAGACTCTGTCCTTCCAGGGCCCCCCATGACCAACATCCCACCAAATGCCGTCCCCAGGAGCCATCATGCCCCATCCTCACTGACGGCTCTGCCGTCTCCAGTATGGAGTGTGGTAGATAGTTTTCGCCCCTCTGTACGGTGGCCAGTGGCAGGTTCGGGCCCCAGCAGGACCACCCCATGCTCCTTGAGGGACCTGTGATAGGGTGTGGGTGCACAGGGATCCCAGGGTGGGCTCTGGCCCCCTCTCGGCCCTCACAGGCAGCAGAGCTTGGCTCCTTCCAGCCTGGAGTCCGGGCCTCCGGGGCATCTAAATTCACAACTTCCTGTGCGAGGATGAAGAGTCCGCTATGGGAAGGGTGACGTGGTTTGCTCAGTTTACATGGTCACAGCCCACCCTGCCCGGAGCAGCTGCAGAGGGGCATGTCGTGGGAGCGAGGAGGAGACCATGGCTCCCTGGGGGGGCCCTCCTGGGGGCCACACACCCCAACCCATGTTCACCAGCCAAACCCTTTCACTGCATCTGAAATTCTTAAATGACTGATGTTATTCAAAACTGAACAAAAGCTTCTCATCACTGTCGTAAACAGGGTGTGAAGAGAGGAGGAGACACGCCCTTGGGGTGACTGCTTCACGGATGCTGGATTTCACAGGTATTGGGTGATGCGTGCCGTGGTTTAAAGGTCACAGAGAACACTCTTCCTCCTCCCGACGCACCTCCCCGCCCCCGTCCGTCTGTCCTTCTGTCCTTCTTCGTGGACTTCTAAGCACAGGTAAATCCACGTTCTTACGGGTCCCCTTCCTTTTACAAGAAATGGGGCCACTGGCCACCTCGTCCTGCACTTTTGTCTTCACACAACAGTCCATCCTGGAGTTCTCCCATCTTAATACCTATTGATTAGTATATAGTACTCCTTAGAGGAAGCTGCTGCTTTTAAAACAGTTACAACAAGATGCTATTTGCACAGCTGCTAAACCAGCCAAGTCCCATCAACATTGTCCCCCATTGGATCCGATGTGGATGTTCTTCCTGTCTTCCTGTCAGGGCATATCTGAGCTCCCCATCCTGGGACTCATCTCATCACCAAGCTCTGTTCCCGCCGGACAAGAGGGGGTGCGGGGCGGGGACTGGCATCCCCCAGCATCCTTCCCTGGTCCCCCAGCCTCTGGCTGGACGGAGGACCACCCTTAAAGGCCTGCTCACGGTGCGCCTCCTCTGAAAAGAACAGTTTCTGAGGACCCCTCAAAAGCAGCACTTGGCTGTAACTCCCCCCAACAACTGGCTCTGTGGCCGCAGGGGCTGTTCAGCTGAATGCTGAGCTGCCAGGTCCTGGGTCTACAAGAGGTCACATCCTGGGGCATTTCCACTCAGGGGCTCAGCATTGTTTCTTCTTTTTCTATTTTAAAATAAAGGCTTTTCAGAGGGGTGCAGATCTGACTGCGAGGCTCCCTGAATTTAGTATGAACTCAGAGTCCAGCCTTCAAGGCCTGTCGTGGCCTGGTCCCAGATGGCTTTGCAGCCTCCGCTCACCCCTCCCTGAACACTGGAGTGACACTCACTGTTCCCCCCGACTCCCACCGCACCCCAACCCAGAGGCAGCTGTTGGCCCCGAACAATAAGGCACCCCACATCTAATCAGATGCCGCTGTCCAGAGCTGGCCAAGCCCTCCCTGCAGTGGACTCTGCTTCGGAATAGGGCAGGGGACATGCTGACATCCCAGTGGCCTGTGCAGGCAGGGGGATGTGCTGGTAGAGATCGGATGGGACATGGGACAACCTTGGGCTGAGCTCCCCGATTCCCAGTTCTGTTGCTGCTTGGTGGCCAGCCCCCCTTCCTAGGAGTGACCCTGGGGACATGACACCATCCAGAGTCTTACTGGCCAAGCACGCGAGGATTCAGGTCACAGAATGTAGCACTGCTTCTCTGAGGCACCCTGCCACCTCAGAGGATGGAGTCAGGACACAGCCACCTGGCACCCCCAGGCTGGGGCTTCCTCCGCACAAGCCCCGCCCTCACCTGGCTTCATGGCGCTCATGACAGCACGGCAGCTCCGCAGCACGGCCTCGTAGATGGCCTTCTGTTTTTTGGTGAACTTGCCGTTGGCAGGGAAGGAGCACGTGATGTCAGAAGAGAAGCAGTAATACTCACCGCCCATGTCAAACAGGCTGTGGGGAGAGGAAGACATGAGGCCGGTGAGGTGCTTGGGGACACCACTGCCCCAAAGCTTCCTCCCGTCCAGTGCTCATGGGCAGCCCGCTGGGTCCTGGACACATCAGGGTGCTGAACCCAAGCTGTCTCACCATGTGACCCGCTTAGGCAGCAGTTTGGGGCCTCCTACCTCGGTGTTTTCTCATAGTGCATGAACAGCGAAGGGGCCCTGTGCCATCCTGGAAGGCCTCTGACCCCAGAGCAGGGCAGGCTGGGGGGAGTGGGGCTGACCCTGCATACACACCTCTGCCCTCCACGGCCTCTGCTGGCTAGGCCGCTGGATGCCAGCTGTGGGGACTCACTTGGAGAACGAGAGAGAGGCAGAGATGTCCCTAGGTCCCCACCCACCACCTGACCTCTGTGTGTGAGCACGACAAATAACCCAGGGCTGCCCCGCACCCAGCACAGGGCACGGCTGCAGCCACGAGGCAATGTACATGCAAGCTGGACAGGGGCCTTGGGATGGACACGCCCGCCTGACAGAGAACGTGGGCCGAGTTGCACCACCCGCCTCTTACAGGCCCGTGTCTGAGTGAAAACACAGCCAATGGCTCTGCTCCAGCTCTGGGGTCCCCTTGGCCAAAGGAAGGCATCCTTCTCTCTGCTGGGATGAGACAGACGTGCTCTGCAGGGCTTGAGGGACAGGCAGGAAGGATACTACAGAGGACAGCCCTCCCATCCAGCAGGGCTTTCCTGGGGGCCTGGTCAGGTGTACAGCCCCCACTCCTGGGGGGCCGCCTGGAGCCCCAGCATCCCCAGGTGGCAGAGCGGGTACCAGCAGGCCCACATGGAGGGAGTGAGGAGTGGGAGGACAGAGAAGGCCTGAGGCTGGGAGTCGTGAGCCAGCAGAGGCAGCATGGTGCTGGGACAGACGGGCAGACCTGCTGAGTCAGGAGGATGGGCGCAGCCGAGCCTGCCCTCTGGACATCCCGTGATAGGGCCCTGGTGCAGCAAGGCTGGGAGTGGGCCGAGCCTCGCTCCCACGCCCTTGCTGCCAGACGGAGCACAGGGCCCCCGGGCCTCAGAGTCCTCGCTGGTCAAGGGCAGGTAAAAATCCTGGTTCGCACACCCTCCACAGTGGGATGGGACAGGATACCTGAGAGCCTGCTGGGTCCAGGCCTGGCTCCCACTGGATCACCAGGCCAACGGGGTCCCTGGCTGAGAGGAGTGGGGGTGCAGAATGAGCACCCCTCCCCATCCTGTCCCACCTGAGCACCTCAGCAGGCTGCTTGATGGCAGGCACAGAGTGGGGACCCACCAGCCCCCTCAGCCCCTTCACAGGCGGAGGGACACTGGTCTAGCCCCAGGCCTGGGACCCTGCCGCGTCTTCAGGGCCAGGGGACCACTGAGACAGGTAGAGCTGAGGCAGCGACAGGGGCTGCCCTCTGTGACGCTCAGTGCCTGGCTCCCGGCTTCCCTTGAGGGTCGGCCTGCAGCCGCGCGTATCCTGGCAAAGCTGAGCCCAGGGGCAGAGCCTCCCCTTCTGTTACAAGGACCTCTCACCCAAACCCAAACTCTAATGGTAAACACAGCTGCTCAGCAAACGTTCCAGAAGCTGCCTGTGCCTCTGGGGGACCCTACCCCACATTACAGAGTTGGGGGACTCCGGCCCTGTGAGTGGAGCAAGCAGTGGCCTGACAGGCAGCACCAGCTACTTCACAGAAGCAGATTTATATGTATATATATATATATATATTTTTTTTTTTTAATTGGGGAACAATGTTTTTCCAGGACCCATCAGCTCCAAGTCAAGTAGTGGTTTCAATCTAGTTGTGGAGGGCGCAGCTCAGTGGCCCATGTGGGGATCGAACCGGCAACCTTGGTGTCTTGAGCACTGTGCTCTAACCACCTGAGCTAACCGGCCGCCCCAGAAGCAGGTTTTTAAAGGAGAAACTTGAATGCTCAGGATCTCTGGACGCTTAGCTGGAATTCAAAGTCCCTAGCCGGGCACTTTTTAATCTCCCGTCTTTTTCCGATTGCAAAACACCATGAGCAGTTTCAACAGTGCAAAAAGCACCAGATAACACCTCAGGTGATTCTCAGGGGGTGGGGGAAGAGCCCCCAGCAGCACGGCAGGCAGAGGAAGCGGGATTGCATGGGGCCACGCAGGTTGGGTTGAACTCAGAGGCTTGGGATCACCCTGACTAGGGCGGGCTGACGGGGGGACCTGGGCTTCACTTGTGGTGACCAGCCCAAACCCAATGTGGGAGCTGGGGACGGTGAAACAGAGAGCAGCCCTGAGCGGACACACCCATTGCATCTGTTCCCCTGGAGGTTCCAGATGCAACAGGGTGTTTGGGCCAACAGCTGCCAGCAGGTTTACTCCTGCCCGGGACACACTCCCCCAGGGCTGGCCAGGAGGGTGGGCACATCTTAACCCGAAACTGCAGCAACACTGAGGCTCTGAACACGGGTCTGGCAAAGCCCTGAGTTGGGGGGTCAGCAGCTTAGCGCCCAGACAGAGATGGGCTTTCCTGTCCTGGCTCCAGCACTGGGCCTTCAGGGCCACAGTCTTTCCACCTTTAAAATGGGGCAGCAACAGTGCTGCAGGTGTATGCCCTCTAGGGGCCAGTGTGCAGGGCACGCATGGGGAGCAGAGCTGCGTGGGCCCACGAGCCAGTTTCCCCTGGGGAAGCAGAGCATTTTCATGGGGCTCCTTGGAGGCAACAAAGGAAAATCGTTTGTGGTTTGTTGATTCTGGAGCAGATAGGACAGAGTCAGGAGCGTGGGGGGACACTGATCCTGGGGGGCCACCCCATCAGAGGGCAACCTGTAGCAACACCCTGGGGGCAGAAAAATCTACTGGATTGTGCTGATCTCAAAGAAAAAGAGAAATTGCACTACTTAAAAAACCAGGAAGCCCACAAGAGCCCCCCAAATGCAGGAGGCACCTAAAGGCGTGAAAATGAGGCTCTTCTCCAGGCAGACATGACTGCACCAAGTTCTCCAAACTCGCCTCGAAAACACCCAAAGTGCGTGGGATGGCGGGTGCTGGCAGTGCCTCGGCCAGCCTGGCTTGATTATTCGGATTCTAGAAACCTTCAGCTGTATTTTTCTGTTTTAAAATCATCCGCTTTCTGGAGAAGGAAGTATATACACCCAGCCGGCAGCTCCATCCTGCCCAGCGACGCTCAGGCACGGGGCTCAAGTCTATTTTCGTGCTCTCAGTTCCCTATCTTTCTGCTCTTAAAAAAAAAAAGTAAAATAAAATAAAAAAAATCCCCCCCTCAGAGTTCCTACACACACAAGTTAATCAGATTCAAGCCACTCTGGAATCCAGGGACAAAAGCCATCTCTTTTATAAATCATCTCCCTCCAACTCCTCTGTGTCTACTTCATCCGTCCTCTGAACACAAACTGACAATGGAGAATTCAGTCATACTTTGGCTCGGTTGAGATCGCAGGATCCCTCCTCCCCGGCTGCCTGGGGACACCACCAGGAACCCCACCATCTTTGGCCGCGTGAATGTGTGTGATAATCTAAGACATGTGGGGAGATATTACACATCTCCGAGCAATATGCTGGCCTCTCGTTCCTCACATGTGTTCATCTGCTTCTATTTCTGGCTGGGATGACAGGTTCTGTCTTCCGTTGGCTCCTGCTGGGGCAGCTTCATGCCCGGGCTACCTGCCACCATTGGCCCACCCAGACCCTCCCCAGGTCCCACCGCAGGGACCGGCCAGCCCACAGGCAGAAGGCCTACAAGATGGTTTGGCCAGTGACATGGCTTGGGAGCAGTTTGGGGAAGATGCTGCAGTGCTTACACAAGGTCCACTCTGCACTCAGTTTGTAGCCTCCTTTGAATCTCCCAAGGTGTGGCCTGACACTCAGCTCCCTAGCACCTAAGACCGACGCTGTCCACGCACGTATGCGCGTGCACGCAGACCTATTCACGATGACAGAAGCATTTCAGACCCCGGCTTGCAGCTGCCCAGCCTACGTTCCAGGCCAGGCCAGGGGATTTCTGAGCAGCAGGAACCTCTTGCTTCCCTTCAGACCTTAGCGTGAGACAGAGAGAAGGCCTACCGGTTACCCTCCTGTTCATGTGCCGCAGCGGGCAGCCCCACCAGATGAGGCCTGTGAACCAGCTGCCCGCACCCAGCCAGACCCTCCATGCAGTGCCAAGCCCCAGGTGTGACCAGCGGGCAGAGGCCATCACTTGGAGTCCTGGAGGCTCCTCCAAGTGTCACAGGCTGACCCGCCAAATAGACCTCTCCCCAAGTGCCTTCCGGGCATTCCTGCTTCCCAACCCAGCCACAGGACAGCTGCCCCCCCCCCCTGGGGCTGGACAGACAGGACTGTCACTCAAGCACCAGCCCCCATAGCAGAAATCCCCAGCACACATGGTGACAAGAGCAGACATGTGCTGGGGGCCTCCTGTAGGTCTGGAAAGAACTACTGTTACTGTTCTACAGGAGATGTGGGGGGAAGCAGAGCACCCACGTGGGGCCACGTCCCCAGGAAGGGCACGACACGGCACCTGGCCTGGTGTGTGGGTGGAACCCAAGGGCTTGCCGCCGCCACAGCACCGTGGGGCAAGGGCTGGGTGTCAGGGCCGCGGCCTCCGCGGGGGAGGGAGTGAGTCGGCGTCACGCGCGCGGCACATGCTGCATTTCACTTTTTTTGGTAAGCAGTGTCCCATGATGTCTGCGAGCACCCAGGCTGTCTGGATCAGTGCTTTTTAAACTGTGGGTTGTGAAGTCACTGCGTGGGGTGCTATGGTAAGAAACATAAATTCAACGGATGGACAGAGAACACATGGTCAGGGTGTCCGGTTATAATCTGGGTACGTGTGCATGCATGAACGTAAATGGTGCTTCTCACTGGACAGGATGTTGAAGGCCACGGCCACTGGGCTGGACAGATGGCTGACCAGGGTTTGTGCACTCCTGAGAGTGTTCTCTTGCCCTCAGGGCTGGACATGTCCTTAAGACCATGAAATCCTCAGGATGGAGC